GCCTCTCCATCCAGCTGCAAGAGCTCTTTGTTTCCTTTGGAATGGATTTGAGCCCCTCTGGTGGCCAGTTCCCCCACCCTGAGCCCCAGATCTTTTTCCAGGTTAGCCACCAAGTAGCCACTCTCCGTTTCTTCTGTCATGGAATATCTAATCGCCTCAGAATCAGCCTCCCACAAAAGCAGCAACATAGTAAGGAAAACGACTTGCCTTTTTGCTGGCGTTTTTGCCACAGCTGTCTCCATTGTTCAGATGCAGTCAGGAGGGCGCTGCTTCTTCAAGGCGATTACAATCCAGTCAGGGTTCGTTAAAATATTGAACTAAATCCCATTAGAGAGACACCTTCTTCCCAAATTCTCCCAGAAACCTTTCTTATTACCTTCTTCAGACAGCAGCCAAAGTTCTGGTTCTCAGCTTGATGAGATGGCGTCCTGGGTGTCTGCAGAGCCCATTCTTCACACTCTTATCCTGGAGCGCCACCAAGCGTCCTTATTTGTTCTTGCATTTCATTTTACTATTTTCTCCCCAAATTTAAATTTTGTATATTTCAGTATCCTTTTATTTTACCATCCAGTTCTTAGCAATCAGAATTTCTAAATATTATTTTGCTGAAATAAGTTTGGGTTGTAGTTCTAAATTTTAGAACAATCGATGATGGCATTAATTTTTTGTCATAAGAGTACTGAGTGAATGAATTGGATTTCTTGTGTAGGGTTAATATTTGATTTTGTTAAAGAAATCAAAGATAATGGACATATAGAAAAATTTTTCACTTTTATATATGCCTTGAAATATAGCATACATCAAGAAAGAGTGGGAAGTTATAATTGTTTAATTAATTGTATTTTTATAATGTTATTTAGCTCAGCTTAGATAAAAATAAAATAAGTCCAAATTCAAGAGAACCTGGCCTGCTATGGTTTGGTTACCTTGCTTCTCCAAAAGATAAACATTTTGCATCTGTAGCTCTACTAAGACCATGAAGCATGAGAGTTCCAGTTGCTTCATATCCCTGTTAGAATTTGTGTTGTCTTCTTGATTTTTAGAACTTTAGGGAGTGTTTGGTGACCTCATATGTAAATTCAATTAGCATTTGTCTGTCATTTATGAAGTGATGCACATTTTCACGTTGACTGTCCATCAGGATAGTGTCTTCTGGGGAGCTTGTTCATGTCTTTTATGTATTTTTCTGATGTGAGGCTTCTATTTGTTTGCTGGTTGGTCTGAGGAATTATCTTGAATATAATCTATAATCTCTTTCTCAGACATATATGCTGAAATATTTCCCAGTCTATGTCTTGAATTTTGTTGATATTGTGGTTTGATCAATAAAACATCTTAATTGTGTTTAGTTGATCTGTTAATACTTTTCA